ATTACTGGCTATTATGATTTATTACTCCGAAGAAGTAAATCGTTTCTTTGATATCATGAAAATTTAACAAATTTCAATTTCTATTGTTTCGATCAGTTAATAACAATACTGACTCTGTTAAGCATTGTTTAAGCTTTGGTTTTCGATACAAATAAATGAAATATGAAGCCGATCGAGTTTTGATTTTAGTAAAAAAATAAATATGTGTTTTAGAATTAATTCGTAATGTAGAAAAGAATTACTCACGATTTGTTCAGTCTAGATCTCGTCAGATTCGAGTTGACTATAGATTCAATTATCAAAAAGTGTCTAATTGAATCCATCTATGAAAATATTATCTACCTTTTTCGCATTTGTGACAAACAACTCGATGAATATCGGTTTTTTTTAAATAATTTTTCTTTCTTCTTAATTGAAAATCTATTATAGAGTTTAAAATTTCCAAAATCATATCCAAAAAAGTCTCATCTAAACATTCAAAATACAATGTAAAAATTTTGTTGTAGAAACAGAAAAACATATTAGTCATTCTGTCTTCAATCATAATTGAGATAAGGGATTGAGTGCACTGACGCATACTGCATGAATAAAACGAATAAATGTGCATGTCGACACGTAGCGAATATGCAGGAGCAAAGAAGATAATAGAAAACAAAAAAATGAAAACAAGTAAGTATTCTTATTGAAAAAATAACAAATATTTATAAAGATCTCTTTAAATTATAATAAATATGTCCTTGATCTCATTCCACAGATAGTTGTGAAATTATACGTGAAGTATACTCTAGTGAAAATAGTCAAGATGATGATAAAGAGAAATGTTGTTGTTGTTATTGTTTAAGAGATTGAAGAAAAAAGAAAAGCTTTTTGGATGTTTTCATTAAATAGATCAAATTTCAATTTAATATTAAGAATATACTCATGTAAATTTCTATCGACAATTTTTTTCCTCTTCTTGAATAAATATTTAATATCGAAATTTTTTGTTTTTTTTTTTTTTGTTCAATTATTTTAAAAGAAAAAAAATTTGAAAATAATTCATTTTAGGATTGTGATGATGCTGTTGAAAAACTTCATAAACTTAATTTAAGTAAAGTACAAGAACGAGAAATAATTCATGTAAGTTTTATTTTTATTTTTTTTCTATTTGATTTAAACATTTATTTTTTTTTTTTTTTGCTTTTTTTTATTTGAATAAAGGTTACAGTTCATTGTTGTTTACATGAAAAAACTTATAATCCATATTATACATTAATTTTACAACGATTTTGTGGATATGATCGTCGTTTTCAAGTAAAATTAATTTTTTCTTTGTTTTTTTTTATTTCTATTTATTTAAAATATTTAGATATCTTTACAATATCATACATGGGATAGATTTAAAGATCTTTCATTACTTAATAAACAACAATTAGTAAATTTTAGTTCTGCACTTTCTCAATTATTAATATCAAAATCATTAACAATCAATATATTTAAAGTAAAAGTTTCTTAAAATAATCAGAAAAAAAAAAAAATTCTAAATAATTTTTATTTATTTTAAAGAATTTCAATTTCATCGAATTAACATCATCAGCACGAACATTTCTGGTTGAATTGTTTGTTAAATTATTCAATGAAATTGATGATGTATCATTAAAAAATATTTTTCAATTTTCATCAACACAAAATTATAAATTTGTTAAAGATGCTCTTAGGTAAAAATCCATTCAAAAAAAAAACAAATCTTCAAAATAAAATTTTCATTTTTTGTTTTTAGATTATTTCTTTCTCATTTCATTTTAAAAAAATCAAATCATTCAGAATTAGTTCATCGTCGTTGTCAGATTGCTTTTGATCAGTTGTCAATTGAATAAGAAATTGTTTTTGTTTTGTTTTGTTTTGTTTTGTTTTGTTTTTCAGATGTATGAAGATTATTTTTCTATTGATGATATATTATCAACTCAAGAACGTATTCGTTGTCAATTACTTGTTGATATACCAAAATTAGGTTTTCTTGAATCATCATCATCTTCATCATTAAATGATGATAAAAAAGATGAAAAAGACAAACAAAATCTAACATCATTAACAACAAATACAAAACTTGAACTTCCTTATTGGATGATTTATTCAATATGTAATTGTAAAACACGTTTTGCATCATTACCTGAGTTACCATTAATATATTCACGTATTCAACGACAAATTTTTGCTGCTGATGCATCTGTTGTTGATTTAGCTAAACAAGCTCCACATTTTTATCGTCAAGGACGTCATTTATTAGAATTAAATTTTGATGAAAAACGACAAGTTGCAATAACAATTTTACAAACATATCAACAAAGATTTCGATCAATTATGGATTCAGCTTTTCATTTAATTTTATCAAATGATCATCATCATCATGAAAGTATGAAACAACAAACAGCAAAATTTGAAAGACAAGAAAAATTATTATTATTATTGGGTCAAGCAGCTTTTCGAGATTATGATAGATTAATTAATAATGAAACAAAACAAATGTTACCACCGAAAATTCAAGGAATGCCCAATGATCTTACTAATGTTCTTGCTACAGCAATCAATAGAAAAAGAAAAAGATAAACTTCAGATATATACACATATAGCAGATAATTTTTTTTTTCTATATTTTTGTCTTAAAATAAAAATAGTCAGATAGAGTTTATATAAATTTCATGTAGTAAGAAGAAAAAAAAAAAGACAAAATCTTAATTATTTTCTAGAACAAATTCTTTGTCATTGTTTCGACATTCAATGTATTGTTCCTTATCAATAAATGGCTTTGTAACATATATATTAAATAATCAATATTAAAATGTCTGTTCGAGAATTATACACTAAGGTATGTAGAATAATTATTCATTTTTTCTTTTATGTTCTTGTTCATTGGATGTTGTCATTCATTTCAGCTCTAAGATTTTTCTTTGTGACTATATATTCAAATAAATGCTTAAGGTTTCTCCAAAGAAACAAAAATTGCGACTATTAACTTTTTAGTTTTCTTTGTTGTTTCGTTTTTTTTTCTGTTTGCATTTCTTTTTTTTCTCCATTAGCCGATTCAAATAATTATTTTCAAGTTTGTATTATTTGTCAATATCCAATATTTGCTGTGCTATATTTAGTTTATATTGCATGATTTTGAAAATAAAAATATTTTTGAATTTATATGACAAATAGGCTATAAGAGGTTGCTTGAGTTTATATTTTTTATTAATCATTATTTTGAATATATAATGGAAAAGTAAAAATTATTTTTTTAGGGTGCACGTATTTGGTTGCCAGATCAAAGCAAAGTTTGGCATGCTGTTACTGTTGAGAAAAATTATGATGGAAAAGGAAAACTTGAAGTTACATCAGCTGAACGAGGAAAAGTGAGTGTATCTGATATTTACAATTTTGGACAAAAGTTACTATCCACCATCAAGTTCTATTATTCTTTATGATATTGAGCTGATATTTTGGATGTATCCTTGTGATAATAAACTCTGTTCACAAGTATCAATTCGCCCTTCATCGGTTCACACATCTTCTTTCCCTTGTAAAAAAATATATTTAGCAGGAATAAGGATACAAAAAGTTTTTGTTTGTCATTTTTACTATTCTACAAGCTGCTACTGATTTTTTTCTAGCCGTAAAGGCACTTCCATATGTAACGACGGGCGGTTTCGGAATCGATTTCGACGATTTCGATACGACTTTGTCCATTCCTACCTAGGGATGTAAGCCGAACGGTTGAGCCGCCGCCGATCGCTGGAAAGATTTTTTTTTTTATCTCAGCTGATTTTAAGGAGATTCAACCATCGAAAGCTAAAAACAAGTTAAAGATTTCTAGCTGCTACCAGTGATACAAAAAAAGATACTCAATTTTCGAAAACTTTCGACATTCAGGTTTTTTGTATAATAATTCGGAGTATAGTATGTGTGTCAAAGGATGTTCTAGCGTTGTATTTACCGTTTGTTGATTCAAGACGTCTGAGAAACTCAAAAAATTTGAGTTTCTAAATTAAAACTCGAGACAAGCGCATTTTATAAATACTGAGATCAAAATCGATCAGATATTGAACCATCTCATTTAAATCAGACTAAAAACAGACTTTTGTTCTTTGTTTTACAACAAAAATATTTTAAAAAATGTCGTAGAAAACGTCGAGTTGCCGCCGAAATGTCCATAGAGTCTAATCAACTACTGTCGATCAACTCATTCGACTTCATTCAATGTTGCCACTGTAAAACTTTCAGAAGGGATTTGTCATTCTCATAGAAACTTTCTACTAAAATTTTCAAATAAATTAGTCAAAGTTATCATGGAAAAGATCTATTTTATTAAAAACCAATATTTCCGCTTCAATAAATATTCATAATGAGAAAGCAATGTCTCAGTTATTTTAAAATAATTTCTGATAAAATTCTGACTAGAAATAGCTACAACACTGGCTTTTTGAATGAGGAGTTTGACGAAAATATTCGTGATAACATCGGTAATCACAAGAAGAAGATGATATCTGAATGATAAGTCCAACAAATATGAACCGATGGATTATATGTTGGTACTCCTAAAATATCATAAAGAAGAGTAACACTCCCTGAAGGACATTTGTTTTTATTCAGGATTGTATTATAATTGAAATTAATTATAACTAGGAAATAATTCCAATAAAATCTGATTCTGATCTTCCACCATTACGTAATCCTGAGATTCTTATTGGTCAAAAAGATCTTACTGCATTATCCTACTTAAATGAACCTGAAGGTAAAAACAAAAAACAAAGACAAAAAAAATATTTATTTAAAATAAAATTTTTTCATTTTAATTTAGTTTTATATAATCTTGAATCTCGTTTTAATAAATCACAAATTTATACAAAATGTGGTATTGTATTAGTTGCTATAAATCCATATGAATATTTATCAATATATGGAAATGATACAATACAATTGTATCGTGATCAAGATGTTCAATTATTAGAACCACATATATTTTCAACAGCTGAATTAGCTTATCAATCGATGGTGAATTTTTCAAGAAATCAATCAATTATTGTATCAGGAGAATCTGGAGCTGGAAAAACAGTTAGTGCAAAATATGCAATGAGATATTTTGCTAATGTTGGAGGATTATTAGAAGAAACACAAATTGAAAAAAAAGTTTTAGCATCAAATCCTATTATGGAAGTTAGTTTATTTGAATAAATTATTTAGATTTTTTTTTTTTTTGGATAATTTTTTTTTTTTTTTGAAAGGCTATTGGAAATGCTAAGACAATACGCAATGATAATTCATCACGTTTTGGAAAATATATTGAAATTGGCTTTTTAAGAAATCATATTTGTGGAGCATCAATGAAAACTTATTTATTAGAAAAATCAAGGTGAAAAAGAATTTTTAAATATGTTTGAGAAATTTGTTTTTCTTGTTTTCTATTTAGAGTCATTTATCAAGCATCGGATGAACGAAATTATCATATTTTTTATCAATTATGTTCACAAGCGAATCAATCTGAAATGAAATCTCTTGCATTATGTAAGAATATTTATTAAAATATTATTGTTTTTATTTTTTATTTTTTTGTTAAATTAGTATCAGCTGATAGATTTCGATATACATCACAAGGAAATGCAATAACAATTAAAGGTATTAATGATGCTGAACAACTTTTAGAAACACGTGAAGCACTTACACTTCTTGGTTTGTTTTAATTTATTTTTTTTTTTTTTACAATAAATAATTGAGATATATTTATAGGTATTGAGAATAAAGTTCAAATGACAATATTTCGTCTTTTATCGGCTATACTTCATTTGGGAAATGTTATTATTGATGAAGGTGAACATGAAACAACATTTGTTAAAGAATCGGATAAATCATTTTCAACATTTTGTTCTCTTCTTAAACTTGATGAAAATCGTATGAGAACATGGTTATGTAATAAAAGAATTAAAACTGGTGCTGAAATTGTCAATACAACACTCAATCTTAATCAAGTATTATTTTAGAATTCATTCATTTTATTTACTCTACTCCTTTCAACTCGAAGTTTAAGTTCATCATGTTGTTTACATTGATGTTATCAGCAGAGATAGAATCGGTACCGGTACGAATTTCAGACTAGTACCAGTACCTAGTCGTCAAAAATTCCGATTGGTTCCATCTCTATATCAGATATGTGATACAACTTGACACATCAAGTTTGTCACACGATAAACCGAATTTTGCATATCTAAACTACTCTTTCTCTAGTGCTGTGAGTTATTAGTATATCATTCATTTCCGATAGACCGGCCGGTTCGATTCGGTCTGACCTTTTTTAGATCGGTTCCACCTCTAGTTATCGGTTCTTATGTTCATTTCTATTGAACATGACGTTAAGGCATCGCGTCATCTTCCGATGCCTACAGGTCATCTGATTAGCGTAGGAAAGTGGAATGATTTCTACATCCTTCCCTAGAAATTTTCTGTGATAGATAGGTAACATTTTTAATCCTTTGGTAGAACAGATTCCCGATGTAAAAGCGAATTTATGTTTGTCATCTTGTAAAGAAAACCAGTTATTTTCTCTCAAAGAGAACCTAAACCAGGTCAGATTTTCCAGAGTCATATATTAAAAAGACAGAAGATAAGACAAACATAAAAAAATATGGTTTGATCGTTAACATATCTCAAATTCATTTAATAGATACTGCAGAATACTATGTACCAAATTGATCAATTTTCTAAGTGAAGCTATAAAGTTTTAAATAGATTCATTTTGTTTCCATTCCCCAATAGTAGAATGTGTAAATGAAAACAACAAAAACATTCACATAATAGACAAAACATCATACAACTATTAGAGAGAACATTACTTTTTAATCCTTCAGCTGTGGTATTTAAAACCAAAAATTAAAATTTCATAAATATGGATGTTTAGAAGTTTTTTTCAAAGTGTGGTACAGTTCAAAACAAAATGCAATATATAAATCAACATTACATTGAGCACATTCATATCTTGTATCAGTTCTTCTTATTTTTTTTCGACCTGTTATTGATTACTGTAGCCATGGTACCTTCATCTCCTTGTTTCCTAACATGTCCTTTCAGACAGAAACATTTCTCATGAAGATCTTAGGTCTAGAGCAAATTTTCACGTAAGAGTCAATTGTGTTATATTTATTATGTATTGCTGGTTATCAAAGTAAAAGAATTTATGATTCAAATTACACCAAGAAAGTGCCTAAGTAAAGCTTTCACGAAAATGGATTTCATTTATGATTCGATGAGTGTTGATATACCATGAAATTACTGTGATGTATATTTGCGTTACCCACAGTCAAAGGATTAAACTAGTGATGTAAACAGTTTTTGTGTATAGTAAAAATATATTTGTTTCTCTTGATCAGAAATTTCTTTACGAATTTTCTAACACAAGAAACAGTGATAAAGAAAAAAGTGTTCGCGATTGATAACGAGAGTATTCAAAGTTAGTATATTTTTCTGAAAAAAACAAACCTGATGCATGAATATTTTCTCTATAGTTTTAGAAAACTTTCTTCGTTAACTATTTCCTTTCCTCAGCAGAACCGAAACGAAAGCTATGCATGAGAGATTTGCAGAACCTCGTTGAAGTAACCCAGGAAACACCACGATGAGATTTGAATTGATTCATTAATTGAGAATAAAAAAAAAAAAAGAAATCTAATTATTAATTATTTTAGGCATTATTTGCTCGAGATGCTCTTGCTAAACATATATATGCACAATTATTTGGATGGATTGTTGAGGAAATAAATAAATCATTAGAACATATTGGACAACGACAATCATTTATTGGTGTTCTTGATATTTATGGGTTGGCTTTGTTTTTGTTTTTTTTTTTTTTGAAAAATTTAAATTAAATTAATTTTGTTTTCTTTTTTTTTTTTTAAGTTTTGAAACATTTGAAATGAATAGTTTTGAACAATTTTGTATAAATTATGCAAATGAAAAATTACAACAACAATTTTGTCAAGTAAGAAAAAAGAAAACATAATAAGTCCATTTTAATTTAATTGAAAGAAAAAAAAAAATCTTTATTTAAAATAGCATGTATTTAAACTTGAACAAGAAGAATATATGAAAGAACAAATAACTTGGTCATTTATTCAATTTTATGATAATCAACCATGTATTGATTTAATTGAAAGTAAATTAGGAATTTTAGATTTATTAGATGAAGAATGCAAAGTTCGTTCTTTTGTTTTTTTTTTTATATTTTTCTCCTATTTATAAATAAAATTGTAGATGCCGAAAGGATCAGATGAAAATTGGCATAGAAAAATAGTTACACAACATGGAAAACATCCAGATTTTTTAACAAAAAAATTATCAGCTAATACAACATTTATTATAAATCATTTTGCAGAAAAAGTTGAATATTCAATTGATGGATTTCTTGAAAAGAATCGTGATACTGTACTTGAAGATCAATTGAAAATGTTAAAAGAGAGCGAAGTAATATCGTTTTTTTTTTTTTTTTTAAATTTCTTATCTAATTTTTTTCTTATTTTTAGCTTGATTTTGTTGTTCAACTATTTTTTGAAGAAGACGATATAACAAGTGGATCAAAAACATCAACATCAACGAAATCTCAACAAGCACAAAAATCAGGAACATCTCAAACGGCATCAAAAGGTCAAGCACAACGAAAGAAAACTGTTGCATCTCAAGTAAGTTTATAATAATAGACATACAGTTTTTGATCATTATTAATCTTTTCAGCGTTTTTCGCTTGGTTCACAGGTTCGTTTTGTATAGACGTACTTTGTTTTGCTAATTTCATGTAAAGTGTAAAGTCAAACACACCTTATACTTTTTTTTTTCATCACAACCGTACATTTTATTTTGTTTCAAGCACAAAATTCTTATTTCTTTTGTATCAAGAAGTTTCTGACACTGAAATTTCAGTAAATAGAAAAAAAAAAATTCTTGCTAACATATCTTTTATGTCTGTTGTATTATTAGGTTGTTTGAAAAGTCTTTAAAAAATAAATAATAAAAAAATAAAATATCTTTGTTTTTTTTTTTTTTTTATTAGTTTCGTGAATCATTAACAAGTTTAATGGCAGCATTAAATTCTACTGAACCTCATTATGTTCGTTGTATAAAACCTAATGACGAAAAAGCTCCATTTACGTAAGTTTTTTTTTTTGTTTAAATTAATTATTGATTTAACAAAAAATTAAATTAAAGATTTGAACCACGTCGTGCAGTACAACAATTACGTGCATGTGGTGTTTTAGAAACTGTTCGTATAAGTGCTGCTGGTTATCCATCACGTTGGACTTATCATGATTTTTTTGTTCGTTATCGTTTATTATCACGTTCATCATTAATTGATCGTACAAATTATCGTCGATCATGTGAAAATATTCTTAAAAATTTAATATCTGATAAAGATAAATTTCAATTTGGAAATACAAAAATTTTTTTTCGTGCTGGACAAGTTGCTTATTTAGAAAAATTACGTTCAGAAAAACTTCGTGCTGCTACAATTAAAATTCAAACAACATATCGTGGTTATTATGCACGTAAACGTTATTTAAAAATTCGACGTACAACACTTGTATTACAAACATTATCACGAAGATATTTAGCTAGAAAACATGCAGAAAATATACGTCGTACACGTTCTATTATTTTATTTCAATCATTATGGCGTATGCAATTAGCTTATCATAGTTTTCAAACACTTCGTTTTATTATAATTGATATTCAATCTCATTGTCGAGGTTATATAGTTCGAAAAAATCTTCATCAAAGAATGATTGAACGAAGTGTTCTTACAGTTCAATCATCTATACGTATGTGGATTGCACGTCGAAGATTTCTTACATTTCAACATGCTATTATTCTTTTACAATCACATCAACGTCGACGTGAAGCTTGTTTAGAAGTAAAACAACTTCGTGTTGAACAACGTTCTGTTGAACATCAAAGACAATTAAATAAAGGTTTAGAAAATAAAATTATTTCATTACAACATAAAATTGATGAACAAAAACGTGATAATGAACGTTTAACACATAAAGATCATGAATTTGAAAATTTAAAAAAAGAATTTGAACAATTAAAATTTCAAAATAAAGAATTAAAACAAAATTTAAAAAATCAATCAAATTTAGAAGAAGAACTTCAACAGTAAAATAATTTAAATATTTTTTATTTAAAAATTTCTGGATTTTTTTTTTTTTCTTCTATTAGACTTCGAACAGAAAATGAACGTCTTAAATTGGATAATGCAACAATACGTTCTGATTTAATTCAAACAAAACAATTAAAAGATGAAATTATTACAAAAAATAATGAATTAATTATAAAATTACAAAATGAACTTGAAATTAAAACAAAAGAAATAACAAAATTAGAAGAACAATTAGTTGGAGATTTATCAACACAAGATTTATCTTTAACACGTGTTAAACAACTTGAAGAAGAATTAAATACAGAAAGACAACAAAGACAAAGACTTGTTATTGAAATGCATAGATTAGAACAAAAATGTGAAAATCTTCAAAGTGAATTACAAAATGGAAATATCAATATAATCAAACCAGTACCATCTGATTCAAATATGACTTGGGATTCGAAATTTATGGATGCATTTGATCTAGATGATTTACCGGTAAATATTACAATTTTAATTAGAAATATTTGAGATTGACACTTCGTGTACACGCACGAGACAGAGCGATTAAGCCTTTTGAAGGACGGAAGTATTACCTTTCCTCTGCTTAAAATGTCAATATAACATTTAAATTTCTATTCAAAAAATGATGAGCTATCATTATTGAGTAGTTAGATGATTGAATCTATTGGCAATAACTAACATCATGATCCTGTATTATCAACACAAGGTGATTTTGATGAGACGAGACAAAAAAATGTTTTTAGAGATTTCTATTTATCATCATTTCTTCGAATTTGCCCGTATGTTATTATCCTTCAATCAATCTTGAACAAATTATTCCAGAAAAAATCAATTTATGCTGTTTCAATCTGGAAACACTAAACATAATGAATACTTCGTTTGAAAAATATTCAATGTTTTAAAAAATGATCATATATCATTATGAAGATCTAACAGTCGACGTTGTTTTTTTTTCAAATATTAAATACCCTCCGAGTCGAGATGCATTGACTCGTGATTTTTCACACTAAAGATCGCGCATATTTGCGACATTCAGAACGTCAAAAAAAAAAAAAATAAGAATTTCAAATGGAAAAATATTGAACAACCTTTCTACTATTATCCATTTCAAAAAAGAATGGACTTGGTTGTTTGTTGAATAACTCGGCAATCCTGATAGCTGTCGAGCTCGGATTTTGCGCTATTAGAAAGAGCATTAGTGGATGTACAAGTCTACCTGAGAATCAAAATAATTGAAAAATTTTTCGAAAATGACTGTCTGATTAGCTGTATTGTCAAGTGAAATTAAGGATTCAATATCTTGAGAAAGGAACATTTTTTTTTTGGTTAAAACTTTTAGGATTTTTTTTTTTCGATAAATACCTTGAAAAGGGTCGAAAATTCGATAAAAATGGTCATCATTTCTTATTCAATAAATAATTGAGTCAATTTTTTTTTAAATGGATAATAATCTCAGTGAGATGTCATTTCACTAATAACAATGAAATCATTAGAATAACCCTGTTTAAAATAATAGTTTTAACTAATCATCTTCATTTGTTTTTGTATCTAATTAAAATATTGATCGATGTTTTGATTAAAAGAAAACACACTTTGAATATTTGACATATTCAAACACAAAAGAAATTTTATTTTGAAAATAAACATCACGCAATTAAAAACCTATGGGATTTCAGATTAATTAATTCCCACAAGTAATCAAAACAAAAATAAAAGAGAAAAAAAACCTTACTTTATTTCTCTTTTTATAGACTTACCGGCAGGAGTTAATATATATCTATTTAAAAATACATACATTAAATGTTTTTCTTTATCTAATCAAATTAAATTATTCAATGATTTTTATATACTTAGTGTATAAAAGAAATAATTGAAAAATTTAGTCATGTTGTTCTATTTGCTTGTGTATCATTATTTAAGTTTTATGGGTCAATCTTCTAATGATGATTATAATACTACTAATTTATACATATATTTGCTTTTGTATTAGGATCAAGGACCATTAACCAATGATGGTTTAACACCACGTCGTCCTCCTCCTCTTCATTCATCAACTGTTAATAATCCTCAACGTTATTTATCAACTACGCAAGCAAATGATACATTAGAAGATATTGGTGAAACAGGTGGTGGTCTTCTTCTTCGTCTTCAACGACGTCTTAAACAACTTGAACAAGATAATAAAATAATGAATGAAGAACTTGAAAAAGGAATAACAAATTCATCAAAATTAGGAACAATTAAGAAAAATTCTTCATGGCATTTAGATGAATTAGAAACGGAAAGATTAAAAAATGATTTAAAAGCATTAAGAGAACAAATACTTAAAGGTGATGAACAAGCTGCTAAAGAACAATTACTTGGTAAAAAAAAATAATTTTATTTATTTTTTTTCTTTTATATATAATCTTTCATTTTAATTTAGCACAATTTGATGCATTAAATGCTGAATTAGAACATCGTCGTCGTGAACAAATTGAAATGAAATCAAAATTACAAGAACGTGTTATGCAACATGAGAATGAAACGGATGATGTTATTGCAGCTGATGCTATTGAACAAGCTTATCAAAGTCAAAAACAAATAAACAAGTATAAATAATCTTTTTTTTGTTTTATTTTTGTTATTATTTTTTTTTTTTTGTTTTAAAAAATAGAATGCTTGAACTTGAACTTGAACAATGTCGAACATCATATCAACGTGAATATGACAGAACACAAGAACGTTTAGTACAACTTGAAACAGAAAATGTTGAATTATATAAATCAATTGATGAAAATACAATTGATGATTCTATGAAACAACAAATAACTAGTGTTATCCATGAAAATCTTGTCTGCTTTTTATATTTTTTTGATTCATTTATATTAACTAATTATGTTATGTTTTTTTCTTTTTTTCTTTAGGAACTTCATCAACAAATTGAAAATAATCAAGCAGAAATTCGAAAATTAAGACGTGTTATCAAACTTGTTAATAAAAGTTTTTCAGCAGGTTATTTTATAATTAATAAGAAGAAATTCTCAGTTGAATAGTTGATAAATA